TGGCTATGAGCTTTTCCAAATCCCATTTTTCAGGCTGTATGTTGTAATTAACAACAAATGTGTCAAATTCTTTAGGCAAAGAAGCAAAAATCAAATGAATAAGAAACTCATCCTTGAGTGCCAAATTGCTCATTCTCAGTATGTGCTCTCTAATGCCACTGCCGCCACCAGAGTATCTTTTTGTAACCAGCTGCTTGATCAGCTGGGTTGCATATGTCTTTGAAGAGCCAGTGAACTGACTCTTTATTCTTTCTAGGTACTCTGTGACCGTATCACAGTCTGGAATTAAGCCCACTATTGCAGGCTCAATTGTATTCTTTATCACAGCCAAACATTTCTTATTGGCTGTGATCCACTTTCTATATTCAAGGTCAAAAGACATCTTTACGGGAGCAAAGTCCCGCTCTCTGTTCTGCCATGCAGCATCAGTCTCATCTGTCTCCCTCACCGGTGCCACAGGTTCTTTGGGACACGGTGTGGTGACTACCCAGTCCACCTCAGGTTCTTTTTCTTCCATTCAATGTAGTTATCCCCTTTTAGAGTGGGGATCTCTTTGATACAACTCATCAAGTTGTATCCGTCTGAAAACACAATTCAAATAGTGTGAGAACACAAATAATAACAACAACAATTGCATGCCTTAGTTCAACGTTGGTTAAAATTAAAACATACAATTGTTCTCTACACTAATTCTACATCACCGTTGGGCAGAAATAGAATTAATGCAAGACAAAAAACATTATAATATTGCCATTAATCAATGTTGGTCAGAATAATAACAATATTATAATCAATTAAAACATATTCATTTTCAAAATTAAATTCTCCCGTTGGTTCGAATTTAATAATGAAAATTGCATCTTTAAATACGCAGCGGAAACATTAACATTCAATAATCATTTTTCCAGAAACATAAAGGTACTGTTCTGTTCTCTATGCAAAATTGTCGTTGGATCAAAATTTGCACATAATTTGACATCAAAATCAATTCAAATTCATCAAATATGAAGTAAACAGTTTCTGAAAAAAACAAATAAACAGTTCCGAGCTATACTGTGTACAGGCCATTTCGGCCCAGCAACGCACGCGCGGCCCAGCTAGCGGAGCCCAACGCGCGCGCCCCAAGCGGCCCAGCCGCATGGCCCTTTTTTCGGCCAATCCTTTTCTGTTGGCCCAACAACCAAAACGGCCCAGCACCCTTCCTTCGCGCGACGCCCGGCCGCACCCAGGCCGCAACCTGGGCCTGGGCCGACAAAGCTGGTTGACAGCATGCGCCCGCCTGGGCTGCATCGCTGGCCCGAGCATCTGGCGCCGTTGGAGCCGATCGGACGGCTGCGCGACGTCTTTGGGTGAACAAAACCCGCCCCCAGCCGCGGTCAGCCAACCCTAGCGGCCATTTGCATTCGCTCTCTCTCTCTCTCTCTCTCTCTCTCTCTTCGCCTCACTGCTCTCTCTTCTCTCCTCAGTCAGTCACCGAGCGAGCGAGCAATCCATGGCGAGAGCAAGCAGCGAGCCCAGGCGCCGTCGCCGGCCCCCTCGCCGGCGTGCGCGCTCCCCAGCGGGTGAGTGCGCCGCCATCGAGTGGCCTGACCGTTGCGCCGTTGTGGCCTGTTCCGACAAGGAGTGCCCCGAGCCGGCCTTTCTCTTCCTTGCGCGCCGGCGTGACTGCAGTGCCGCGCAACGGCGAGGTAGGCCACCCCCTTCCCTTTCTTCCCCTTTCTTTTGATTCGTTTGTTCGGATTTCATCTGATTTCCCGATTAGGGTTAGGGTTAGGGTTTGGGATGGCCACTGTTGTCTTTTCCCGAATTGATTTCTTGACGGGTTTGAAGTTCGGTTTCTAGTTGAAACCATGTTATCATCTCTGTCCCAAAACCCGATCTAAGGTTTGGTTGTATCTTTTCTTTTCTTTTCCCGAACCCGATCTAGAGTTAGGGTTAGGTTTTCTTTCATCCTTTCTCAGATCCGAAGGGATCGAGGTTAGGGTTCAACCGAACCCTTTGTCGGCCGAAGCCCCTTTCTACATTCTAGATCCGCACTGGATTTCTATTTCTTAAGCCAGATCTATACCTAAACCTGCCTCTGATACCAATGTTTAAAACCATAGAATCGATCTAGAGTAGAACCGAGGGACTTCTAGGTAACCAGTTAATCTAGATAAGCCCTAGTACATCTAGACCGAGAGATGGAGACAGAGAGATAGAGAGATAGGGGTTCGAACCTAAGACCGCAGGGGTGGAAGATCCAGTGGGCTCCATCAGGTTCGCTGGTGTAGGCTACACACGGGCAGCGACGGTCGGGGAAGATGGCGGTGCCGGCGGCGCGGTGGAGTGCAGTGAGGCAGACGGTGATGACGGTGGCGTCTTCCCGTCGCTGGCTACGCACCCTCTTTGAGATCGGACTTAGGGTTTGTTGGTGGGGCGGATTGGCTCACGGTGAACCTCGTACCTCGAGCCGCCGGCCCCCACCACTTTATATAGCGCAGTGCGAAGGGGGCCCACCAACCATGTAGGGTTGGGCGGCCCCGATCAGGACGCGTGACCAAGGCCCAATAGGCCGTTGGGCTTATTGGCTGGAAGATCAATCTAACATTTTTATCTGGTACTGCAGTTAGGAACAATGTAGTACGAACTAATACACATGAAAGGATACGTACAACAAACCTTTAGAAGCATATCATTGAGCTAACAGCAGCCAGCCAGCCAGCTATCTCCACTAGCATTTGGAAATGGAATTTAACCTGAACCTACATGGCTATAGCTAGCTAGTTTAAGTTATTGTGGAATATTGTAAAGTTAATCCAACCTATCCATATCCCGTAGCCAAATTTGAATCTCAGATGTTGCTTAGACCAATAATTAGAGATGGTACCCGAGGCAACCTTTTTTCTAGCGAGGACCATATTGCTGTTAGTGATGCCTACACATTGCCTTTTAGACTTTATCATTTTGTAAATACAATAAAGCATGCATCTATATATAGCTTTCTATCATGAAGGAATAAAACAGGATGGTAGACCATTGAATCAACGAGACGAAACATCCAAACACTTGTTACCTTGTTGATTTAGCTTGTATATAATTTGACAAACCAAAGTATATTATAATGATCTATTTCATTAATATATGATAACATTAAAAGGAGACACCATGTTCGCCGAGAGGACCTAGAAGATATGAGATTAATCGAAAAAAGAAGACTTATTCATAACACGATCTAACGGTCTAAATTAAACCAAAGAGTCTATATCTACTACAATAATAAATAGTAAATTCAGAGTAATAAAATAGTCTACGGTTGCTAGACCAATTGGTCAAGCACTCAAGCCTCCGGGTGGCGTTTCCCGTAACCAGAGTTCAAATCCTGGGTTAGCCAAATTTTTGGTTGGCGGTATGAAAAAAAACCCTCGCTTGTCCCGCGTTCCTAAAACACAAGTAAAATAGACCGTAACGGCCCCTGTGTTTACAGTAATAAAATAAGGGACAATAGTAATTTGATTTCCATCGTCACTGCTTAGTGTGGGGATTGGTGAGCTGTTTTTTTTTATAAAGGATTAGTGAGCTGTTGACTACGCCAGCTACTAGAAATTTTAGCAGAAGAAACTGTACGCCCGAAGTAATTACTGGAGTAATTAGCACGCAATGACATCAGTATTCTTTACGTCAGCAGTATGTCATATTTACGTCTGCATGCACTGAGTGACATGTTTTCTGCACATTAATTTCCACTTCTAGATATGGAACTAATTCATTACGCCCTGCAGTCATATGAGAAAATTGCCTTTTGAAACCTTCAATCAAAGGATAAATTCCATGTCCTACACTGTACTCGTCTACTCAGGCAACTCCTCTGACTTGACTAGGATACAATGCGGAAGTGTTCACATCTTGTTTTGGAACAATGACCAATGTTTACTACAACATCTTGCCTCCTCTTTTGTTGACTCCTTTTCTTGAACTTGTATACTCTTGTTTTCGCTAATGCATCTTCAGTAGGGGGGCTTTGGCGCTTCCTGTTTCCTAAAAAGGTTTACTACAGCATGTACTGTATATTCATTCAGATTTTTTTTTTTGATTTGATTTGTATAGAGCGTATGATCATGATCATTAAGGCCCCCTTGCTGTGATGCTCATCAAACTGTCGGCGACGATAATTAGCAGTGTGTTCCACTCATCTAGCACAGCTCAAAAGGTATCCTGGACAGTACAGTATCTGAACCCTAGCGTAGACAACGGCAGGAGACCTGCTTGTGCCATTGGAGACTGTTGATATAGTATAGCTTAGGCATGAAAGGCACAGGTTGGAATAGAAAAATGGCGGCGCCAATCTGCATTTGTGGATCAGCACCCCACATGTTCTTCGTTTACTTTTCCAGATCAAACAAAGGTGACGCAGCAATCAGGAGACAGCCAGATCTGTGCTTGGCATTGTTTAACTGTAAAATCACACAAAAGAAATCCTCCTTTAGTTTGTCCCGGTCTCTGCTGCAGTCTGCACACGTGTTTCAGACTTTTTTCTCAAAGGCAACAGTTACCATTTCACCTCAGCTGGGGACGAAGCGTGCACTGGAGAATGGACAGATCGCAGGCAGGACAGAAGCCGTAGACGAGTTGAGCATTGGCATAACACACGAGTAGCAGACTAGATGAATTTAATCAACGAATTGCAAGAGGCCGAGTCCAGTTCTGTTCTGGTGATCCTCACTACTGTACATGGAAATTTGCATGCACAGCGTGCAAAAGAATTCTTCTTGGAATGGATAGCATAGGTTTCGATCACCGATACCTTGTCGATCGATCTTTATATACAAGAAAGCAAACAAGATAGCTGCGATGGCGTGTCGCGTTGTTTCTGCCTAATTTCGTCGTGGACACTCTTTCATTCTCTGTTAATTCGCTGCTATTGCCCCCTCCCTAGTCCCTCCGACGCAAGACGTGCAGAGGGAGAGAAAAGAACGATGAATCAATTAGCCAAGGAACTGAAAAATCCTCGCGCGCGCGCTCTAAATCTGCGGCAATTCCTGGTGCACGTCGCCGGACTCCATGAACACTCTGAGCCAGTAGTCCAAGTCGCCGTCGGCGCCAACCGACGACGCGCCCAACGCGTCGGAGGGCTCCATGGGGACGTCGAAGCTCTCGAGCGGCATCGACAGCGTCTCGGACCAGAAGGTGTCGTCGAACTGGAACTCCTCGGCGTCCGAGGCGGAGGAGGTGAAGCTCTCCTCCTTGGGGAACCCGGGCGAGCTCCCCGTGTTGCCCTGCTCCTGCTCCGTCATGGACGACGACAAATCGGTCACCGACGACGAGGCCGCCGACCGTTCAGGCGACACCGGCGCTGTGGTGGCCGGGACCGGGACGACGGCGACGTCGGCCGTCTTCTTCCTGGCGCCGCCCCCCGCGCTTGGGCCTGTGCTTCCTGCCGGCGCCACCTGCTGCCTGCGCTCCGTGCTGATGCTCCGGCTTGGTGGGCTCCAGCCGCTTCTTGAGGTGCGTGTGCCAGACGTTCTTGATCTCGTTGTCCGTCCGCCCGGGCAGCCTGGCGGCGATGGCGGACCACCTGTGTGTGGCCAAACAATTCAGAGCTCATCACATCAGTGCACAGCTTTGTCAGAGGAAAGGAATTGATTACTTTTACTCTCTGCTGCGTGATTGGATTCCCTTGCGGAATCACACGCACTTGTTTTAATTAACGCTGTACTAGTTCAATTTTTTAACTGCACTGAGCTCTAGACGGCAACGGCAGGCAGCAGTGCCCCGTTCGTCGTCCACGACGAGGACGGACGGCCAAACTAGAGGAGGTGGAATCTCCGGCAGATCTCGCGCATCATCAGTGACGCAATTAAATTAACTAGCGACCAAGTGGCCTGCACACTTGGGATTTTCTTTCTTCGTCGGCCTCGAGGCGGGGCCCACGGGGATAATGTATTGTATGCCCTGCCCTGCCCCACTGACAGGAACAAGAGGAAGACGAAGACCGAGAGTGATTTGCGTTTGAAGCAACAAGCAAGCAACAATCACTGCTCCTCCGATTTAGCAAAACACCCGAACAGACAGCAATGCGAGAAAGGGAAAGAAAAGGACGAGGAGAAAAAATGGGGGCAGAATTAATTAGCAGCAAGCAGTACCTGTTGCCGAGCTGCTCGTGGAGGCTGATGATGGCGTCCTCTTCCTCCTTGCTGAAGTTGCCGCGCTTGATGTCCGGGCGTAGGTAGTTGATCCACCGGAGCCGGCAGCTCTTGCCGCACCGCAGCAGCCCTGCAGAAGCAGCAGCACGTCTCGTTAGCACTCCGCGGCCGAGGAGCTAGCAAGCAGAGGGAGGCAGGCAGGTCGTCGAGTGGGTCGCTCACTCACCGGCTTGCTTGGGCAGCGCGCGCCAGTTGCTGTGGCCGAAGCTCTGGATGTGGGCGACCAGGATCTTGTCCTCCTCGGGCGTCCATGGCCCCTTCTTCAGCCCCATCTTCGCGCAGCACGGAGCCCTCCCCATTTGATTCTACTGGATGGATCTCCTCCGATCCTCTGAGTGTTGTCTGAAGCTGTGTGCTTTGCTAGATTGGCTTGTCTGTTCGAGGGAGGTGTGGCGAGTGCAGGCAGGGAGGAGGGAGGCGAGTGCCTGCCTGTTTGTCTTTGGGGACGGGAGCACTGTCCTGGTCGTGCTGAAGGTAAGGGTGGAGTCGTGAGGGTGCCCGGCTATTTATCTTGGTGGCGAGTGATGACATACATAGAGCTTGAGAGTTTTTTGTTTTTTTTATCAATAATAAATGCATAGAGCGCTTGAGAGTTCAAACAGACACGTGCCCTAATGCGTAAGCCCACGCAACTTCCGGGTAAGTGGTTCCTCTGGGTGGGCCAAGTGGGGCTGTAATTTTCCACAGTTTGTGATTTATTTTTCCTCGTAACTTTTTAGCTCACGGATAGGGCCAGTTTGGTCTTTGAATTCTCTAGTCTAAATATTTGTTGAAAGTTTTTTTACTGTAATTTTAGAGCATTTTAGTTTGCTAGTGTGATCTAAATTTTTTATTTAGGCTCAAGAGTTAAAGTGGTCTAAAATTTAGTGACTACACTTTAGACCATGGGATCCAAACATTCCGTGAGAGTTATGTTGTTTAGAGAGAGCCCTTCTATTTATATTAGGACAATCCCCATCTAAAATTATGGGATAGCTTCCATACTTACCGAGTGAAGTAGATGCTACGTATAGAAACCATATTCATAATGGATATTTTCTTCAAAACAAATTCTCTCAAATCACTTATCATCTCTCCCCAATCATCTACCTATCACATTTCGTCCACAATAGACATATTTCTTAAATGTGTACACCAAGTGATCACGCACCTGTAAAAGACAAATCAGCACACTTAAATGAGGGTGACGAGCGAGGACGAGACGAGACTCATCAAGGTTGAAAGGAGACAGTCGTACTTGTGGTACGTTGGAGTGAAGGACCCTGCTCTTCCGTCGCTCCTGTCCACACACACACCGCAAGTCCGCAATACCGCGCGCAGAGGTCCGGGCTTAACGAAACGCGTCCGTGCACCGTGCACGGCACCGCATTCCAAAACAGAGCCCGCAGAAGGCCGGCGCGCGGCAGCGTCCTGGCTTAAAGTTAACACCGGTGTTTCTCGGCTAGCCGCGAAGTCGTCAAGGGCGCCGCAACTGTTCAGCGGCACGATCGTGTTCGTGTGTGTGTGTGTGTGTTGCCAATTGAAAGTGGTCAAGTCGAGGAGTTACAAGTGAAAGACGAAGCGAGGAAATTAACGCACGGTCTGGAGTCGTCACACGCGCTGCGGCCTGCGGCGGCGCGGGGAGCAAAGTTCAGCGCACCTGGGCGAGGTGTCACCAGCGTGCAGCGCATGTTTATGTCACGCAAGCGACTTTGTACATCATCAGAGCAATGCCCGAGGCAGGACGGACGTCGCAGTCGCAGCCGTATCGAATCGGGGCTCCTCCTCGCGCGTCTACGGCCGCTTTTTTTGCCCGGGCGTGGCCGCGAGCCGCGAGTCGAGAGGCGGCAGCGGCGCTGAAGGGCTGGTTCCACCTTCAATTCAAGTCAACCCAATCCAACGCCAAAACTGCTCCGCACGGCGCCACTTTTCCTCTTCTGTGTTTTCTTCTTGGAGCGCAAAGCGGCTCCAATCTTGTCTTGGGTGTCGGGCCGGGGCCGGGGCCGGGATATCAACCCCACCCCGTGATGGCGTGTGATGTCAGCGATATATCAGGTCGGTATTTTTTGCCACGCTCCCAATCTATCTGGCCATGCATCGTCCTGTTCCCTTGGTTGCTATGCGTGAAAATATTATTAATTGATTTATTGTAAGAGAATAATATTGTTTGTTGGCTTAAAAAAATATGGCTTATAATCCAAATGAACGGGACGCATGCTTGCGGTGGACCCGATAGGATCATCATCGCATCATTGAACAAGCTTCAACTGCCAACAGCTCTGCGAAGACGACGCACACTCTATTTCTACAGCGCACGTGTTGCCGGCCTCCTCCATGAAGAACACGCGTGCGTGGTGTGGTGCGTATTCGCGCGTCTCCATCGGAAACTCAACAAGTTATAATAATTTCAACCGTGGATCTGGACTAGCAACAGTAGATAGCTATGTATAGTGTTGAACCCCTACTGTTATTTGTTAAAACAAAGCTAGCTCAAAGAAATTTTTACAAAAGCTCAGGGCTAGGGGAGAAGGAAAATTAATTTAAATTTGATTAACTTTATTTATATATATATATATAAATAACAACGGTTATAGTAGCAAATAAGTACGTTATGAAAATAATTTCACGTGATAAACATTGGTACGTGTTATTTTCTATACATTTAGTTAAATTTAAAATAATCTAACTTAGGACAACTAAAAGAGTTTAGTGAATTTGGACTCAGGGGATAGAACACTGTATGTTTTTATGTGCGTGTCGTCGACCGGAAAAAAGAGAAGAACCGACAATGGGAAATAACTACGGAAAACGTCGTTTATTGAGAACAACGGAAAACTTCACTGGTCGTGCTCCAATCGAGTACTTACTGTAGTAGTAATAAAAATCCTAGTAGACTGGTCGTTGCACAACATGTTCGGTTTTAATTTAGATTTAGATTGACCAGAACCGAAGCAGCAGCCCGGGTCAAACGGTCAACGATTATTCACGGGCGGGGCCCACCCGGCCGGAAGCGCCGCTATAGTTGGCCACTCTGCAGCAGGAGGGCTGATTTGGAGCCATGCCATGAATCGGTGCCTTCCTAGCTACGGTATTTATTTTGGTCTCATGGAGCAAGTCATAGGGGCGTCGACTTGTGAATCATATTCGTGTCGCGGGGTCTCGGTGTTCTTCGCGCGTACACATCAGAGCTGACGTTGCTTCATCAACATGTTGATGTTGTTATCACGGCAGGACACACTGACACTGTATAGATAAGAATAGAAGCATGCCGCTGAGGTCCGCGAATAAACAAAGTCGATATTAATTAGTTAAGTGTATTGCAGAAAGTCAGAAACCGATCGGCGACGGATAAATAAAATAGTTTGATTTAAGATAAAAAAAACTATAGTAATATTGTTGTTTTTAGGACTGAGGAAATATTACATTCCAATGCCAAGGTGAATAGAAAATTAGACGAATACTAGCTCTCCATTAAAGTACAACGCACCCACGTATACTCGCTTGCTCGTGCGACGACAACAACGAGGAGAAGTCACAAAGCTGCAAGTGCATGCACGAGGAATAAATCGGTCACGCTGGGACGCGGGCGGGCACGTAGCTTTCAGGACGTCGGCATCGCCGTACGTCGTCGATCACCTCCCCGGCCGGCCTCTTATCTCAATCTCCAAGTTCACAAATAAATGAACTCGTAGTCAACCAGCACTTCACCGGATATGAGATCAATTTGGTATAAATTATTAATCACGTACCTCCACTAGGTACGCCGCTAAATGATTTTTTCTAATAAATGTTGATTGAAGAGAGAGGGAATAATATTAAGACAAAGCATTTCGTAGACACGCAAACGGCCGGCGGCGAACGTATAGTAAATCAGCGTCTCAACAAGGCCACAGCCATGTTGTCCCGATCAAACGTATCGGCAGCATAAGGTGCTCGCGTGTCGCCATCCGCGACCCATCCACACGCGCTCTAAGGCTATCTCCAACAGAGCTGACCCAAATTTCACCGTTTGGGTCACGGCACAGTAAATAAGTGAGCTACCCAAATTCTTCCGTTTTCAACAGCGAACGCAAAATATTTTCGGTCCTCTCTCTCTCACGCGGCTGCCTTGCTCTCTTCCTCTCTCTCTCTCTCCCACGCGGCCATGCAGGGCATGGCGACGGCGACGACGTGGGGCGACGGCGCCCGGATCCGGCCCCCCTCCCTCTCCTTCTTCTTCCCCGAGCCCGGCGGAGCTCGCGCCCACGTTCGGCCCCCCTCCCTCTCCTTCTCCTTCTTCGCGCCCACGGCTCGGCGGAGCTCGCGCCCGCGCCCGGCGGAGCTCGCCCCCGCGGCCCGGCCGAGCTCGCGCCCGGATCCGGCCCCCTCCCTCTCCTTCTTCTTCCCCGAGCCCGACGGAGCTCGCGCCCGCGTCTGGCCCCCCTCCCTCTCCTTCTCTTTCTTCGCGCCCGCGGCTCGGCGGAGCTCACACCCGCGCCCTGCCCCGACGGCTCCTACGGGCCCACCATTTGCGTCGTCTCTCTTCGAAACGCAGATTTGCCTTCCGAATCGCAGAGGACCCAGAATGGGTATCTGGTTTCGGTCCTCCGTTGGAGGATGGTTTTGGTACCCAAAAATACTCTGCATAACGCATTTTTGCATTTAGGTCACGTCGTTGGAGACCGTCTAAGCGGCTGGCGCAAAGTTTCAACACATGCCGATTGACACTGGGTGCGTTCGCTGGTCTGACCAGCCAGTTTCAGCCACTACAGTGTTTCTCTCTCACAACAATCAGCCAATTTCAGTCAAGTTTCAGACTAGCGAACGGTTCCACTAGCTCGTCGTGGGGACTTATTTATCTCTATCTATCTTTCGTTTTAAATTGAAGTTAAAATTGTGTTTTTGCCATCGTCATATTTTACTTTACACGTTGTTCGCGTATGCATCTCCGTGTCAAAGTCCGTGACTAGACTTATGATCCGTGCCCCTATATAAGTTAAAGTAGCACGCGTTTAACGAAAATTGATGCTAAGACATATTAAAATAAATAACTTAATTTGTAAATAAATCTCTAAGGTCCTGTTTGGATCCATAAAATTGAATTCATATTGATAAATTATAATTTAGGCACATATTAATTAGACTAATATGGTTGTATGTGAAATATATTTGTATACTATCGTTAGCCATATAAGGGATATGCTTATATGTTGAATTTTTACTTGTGATGATGGAGTTGAAGAGTAGAAACATAGCATGGTGATCTATAGAATCAATTTTCATCTCCCACCCTTGAATTTGATATAGGCTTATA